CTTCAGATAGATGTTCCCCTTAGATGTTCCTGGTGCATGCCGTCTCTCTCCTCCTTTATAGTCCTCTTCCGCCAATCCCAACTCGGCTGCCCACACGCCGAGTACGCTGCTCTCCTCCAATCAGGAGCAGGATCAGCTCCTGGAGGTCATCACTCAAGTTGGCAAGAGGCAGCTGCATAGAAGCTGTTTTCTCCTCTCCCAGCGCCATATTGTGGGAGAGCAGATGCATAGAATAAGTCTTAATTCCAGTAACTTAGTCTAGTCCAAGTTGCTCCCAGTTGTTCCCCACAGGTGGGTATTAGCTCGAAGTTGGAGTAGAAAGTGGAGCCCGGATTCCCTCCCAGCTTCTCTACTGTGGGATGTGGGTACCCCAGGTGATATCTTAACTGCTATGCCAAATGCCCACGCCAGCTGAAATGATTCATATAGAATGTAAGTGATTATTTCCTAGTGTGAGACAAAATTGTATATAATTAGCATTCAGAAAACTTTTAAAAACAGATTTGTTTATTTGAAAGACACAGTTACAAAGAGAGGGAGATAGACAAACACAAACACACACGTATACACACATTGAGAGAGAGGGAGGGAGAGAGAGAGAGAAAATGAGAGAGAAAAGAGGGCAGGGAGGGAGAAACAGAAAATCTTCCAATTGCTGACTCATTGCTTAAATAGCTACAGTGGGCAGGTCTGGGCCCGGCTGAAGCCAGGAGGTCCACATAGGTCTCCCATGTGGGTGGCTGGGGCATAAGCACTTTGGCCATCTTCTGCTGCTTTCCCAAGCATATTAGCAGGCAGATGAGTAGGAAGTGGAGCAACAGGACTTGAGTTTCCATTCATTTGGGGTGCTGGCATCATAGGTGGCAGCTTAATTAGCTGAGCCACAATGCCAGCTCTTCAAAAAACGTTTAAATTGGACTGAAATTTTAATCAACTTTTATTTTCAAATATCCTGGTTACTATAAATTATCAACACATTCTATGTGTGAGTTTTTTTTTTTTAAATCAGTGTAGTGAATGTTGTGAATCTCATTAGACACAGAGTCTCATTAGGGAGGCTTTTTAGACACAGACGTGGCCAAATCCGAGCCTGAGGATTTGCTAGGAAATCTTACTGTGTCTCCCATGAGCCATTGCTAACCTTGAAACTTAAAGAAAAGCAAATTTGCTAAGGAGGGAAAAGAAGTGATGAAATCTGTAGTGTGAATTAAACCATGATCTGTCTCCAGTTTCCATACATCTTTTTCTCTGATCTTACTCATTCTCCCTTTTTGTCTCTTTTCCCAGTATAAATAGAGGAAATAAATACTCAAGGGTGTGATCTGATGATATGCACTAAGATTTATCTGTATTTAACTTGAAACTGGATGTTGTCTAACCAATCTTTTCTATTGTTTATTTATACACTTGTATCATAAGGGAGAGGAAAAGTGTCTCATCTGTTAAAAATGTGGCTAAATAATTTTTCCCATGCTCTGTTCATCCATGATTCTTGCTGTTTGGCATTCATATTATTTATGACTGTAAGAGTTATCAATGGGTAGTGGTTATCTGATGGGTGAAGTGTTCCTTACGTGTCTGATATTTTTCTGAATTTCAGCTATCTGGATGGAATTGTGACAAGTTTGTGAATTAGCATATTCTGGGGGAAGAAAGGTTCTACTGGGTTAAGGAGAGAGCTACAGAGAGGGAGGACAGAGTTTGAACCTAATTCTTCTGACTTCTGACCAAATGTGCCCATGACCGTCTACTAAACGGTTAGTTTCTTGAGGTCAAGGATAATGTTACTCATGTGTACCTCCTTAGAATTTGGCATAATGCCTGACACATATCTGAAATTAATGACAAATAAGTATATCTTTGACATTTTTCAAGTGCTCAGTTCCAAGTGAATGATGATATACTTTCATAAGTCCTTATTGGAGAGAATTTTATATTATAAAAAAGTATGACTACTGAATAAGTGATTTGTTTTCCAATATTCATATAGGATCAATATTAAATATAATAATATGTATTTAATAATTTACTTATCCGTTCATTTGTTCCAAAACAGCCTAAATGCTAGCTCCATCCCAAGCTTTTTTTTTTTAAGGTTTATTTATTTATTTATTTGAAAGTCAGAATTACACAGAGAAAGGAGAAGTAGAGAGAGAGAGGTCTTCCATCTGATGGTTTACTCCCCAATAGGCTGCAAAAGCCAGGGCTGTGTCGATCTGAAGACAGGAGACAGGAGCTTCTTCTGGGTCTTCCATGCAGGTGCAGGGACCCAAGGACTTGGGCCATCTTCTACTGCTTTCCCAGGTGATAGAGAGCTGGATCAGAAGTGGAGCATCTGAGACTAGAACTGGCGCCCGCATGGGATGCCAGCGCTTCAGGCCAGAGCGTTAACCTGCTGCGCCACAGCGCCGGCCCCCATCCCAGGCTTTTTATTGGATTAGGGAGATAACTCTCCCATTCCCAACAATTTCTTATCATGTGCAGGAAGTCTCATTGTCATAATGCTCCTAGATTCTCTCCATTCCTCCCTCATTCCTCTACAGAAAATAAGAGTGGCTTAAACTGACTGACTACTTTAGAATGCCTTAGTAAGATCTGAAGTTCTTGGAGTGTTTGTAGCAAACAGTGATGCTGTATGGTGTCGCTCCCCTTCTTTGTGGAGGAACGACACAGGACCCTGCGCTGTTCTTTCGTCTGCTCGGCCCTCCCCGGGTTTGCTGCTGGTTCTTCCCGGGTTGGCTACTATCCCTTCCACCTCCGTGGAAGGGCGGTTCCCCCTGGCCGCTTTCCCCACTTCCGCAGGGGAGCGGCACACCACCGGCCGGCTTTCTCGGGGGCTGCACAGGTGTTCCCCCTAGATGTTCCCCTTAGATGTTCCTGGTGCATGCCGTCTCTCTCCTCCTTTATAGTCCTCCTCCGCCAATCCTAACTCGGCTGCCCACACGCCGAGTACGCTGCTCTCCTCCAATCAGGAGCAAGTCCTACAGTTTATTAGTTGAACTGGAGGCAGCTGTGCGGAAGCTGTTTACTTCTCTCCCAGCGCCATATTGTGGGAGAGCAGATGCATAGAATAAGTCTTAATTCCAGTAACTCAGTCCAGTCCGGATTGCTCCCCACAGTATGGAGCCTCTGAAAGGCCCTCAGAACAGATCCACCGAGGTTTTCTGAAGAAAGTTATATTTATATTGGCTAATGATTATTCTGAATTTTGAGAAAACCCAACTTGCTAGTGAGCTTAGGGGAGAGATCAAACGATCGGCCAAGGCACAAATATGAGATGCTTGAAAAGGTTATTATCTGATACTCAGCGTCACAAGGTTCGATACATGGTACAGCAATTCGGAATACAGAGGAGATGGTAGACATGACACTGGGCTGGGTGGGGTCAGGAAGGAGTATGTGAAGTGAGTGGAAGGTGGCTCAGGCTGCTCTGACCTTGCTGCTATACTTTTGCCACTCCTCTCCCGACTCCCTTCCTATCCTCTGGCTCAAGCAAAGTTCCCTATAACCAGTTAAATTTGATCCAGAGAACTCTAGCTTCTGGTAAAGATGATGGAGCTTTACAGGGTGAAATTTCCTACAGATGACAATGATAAAATGCTTGTGTGAAAAAAATATGTTTATGAAAGAGCTATTTCTCATGGCATTGGAGAGCAACTAAAAGGAAGGAGAAAGAAATGCAGAGGTGGAATAGTTTAGAGATAGCAGAAGAAACAGAAAGGCAGAACAGAAATATTTGAAGGGAGGAGACACAGAGGTATTGAGCCCAAAATTAAACATGTTTTTCAAATACTTGGCAGAATGCTAAGCTACAGGTTCATGGAGGAGACCCCAGAAAGTCTAGCGAAAAAGCCACAGCTGAAAGCTAAAGGACCTGATCAGGTATTTCAGTGCCTGCAAACTTCAGGGAAGGCAGGAATTTGCATCCAGACTAGTAGCTGTCTGCTGAGACCAACAAAATCCAGAGTTCCCAGAATGCATCAGTACTACAAATAGACATGATCCATAGTCCAGAAATAGCCATCAGTGGTGTTAAGGTGACTAGGGTTAGTGTTAGAGTGAATGTGACATTGAGTGTTAGATTATAGGTGAGGTTGAAGTTTAAAGTTGTAGTATGCAGGAGGACTAGGTTTAGGGATGTTGAAAAGGAGCAATAGCCAATATCTACTTTCACACTCAAGTCCTGAAACAATTGAGCAAAAGGCTAATGCAAGTTGGGAAAATATATTTGTCAATAATGAAAGCTGATATATTTGATAATATCTTATTCCTTTAGTTCAATGTTCTTAGTAACACTCAGAATTACACAGACTTACTGTGGCAGATGTTGCTGGCACCTGCATTTCAGTCTCAGACTGCTGGGACTTCAGCTGAACCTGAGGTTGACCAAATGGGAGTACCCTGATGACTTTCCATCTCACTGCCAGCAACATCTCCCAGATTTTCTGGCTAAGTCTTCTTAAGTCTCAGGAGGACAGTTATTTAACTTACAGGTGTGGCCCATAATCCAGGGAGTATAACAAACAGAGGACTATACTCACCACTGGGCAGCAGGCACAAGCAGATAAATGCTCTGTCTTCTTGTATTACAGGGATTGTTCTGAGGTCCACTCTGTACTGAAGTTAAAGATCTGGTGATATTTAGCTTCAGTTTCTACCAGGAGTACATAGCCCAGTAATTCTACATTAGCTTCACCCTACTCTCTCAGTTACTGAGAGATCAATTACTGGCATCCATGTCCTCGTCTCAGATTTGCACTTTGTAAAAAATCATTTAGAGCTCTTTGAAGGGTCTCTTAGTGTTCTCTAACCTAAGTCTCTGTCCCTCTGCCAGTACTATGCTGCCTTGATTCTGGTGGCAATAGAGTCAGCCTTCATGTTGGGAGAAGTAATTCCTCCATATTCTTATTCCTGAAGATTGCTTAGGTGTTTTGGGGGTGTCACTATTCCTTGTAAATTTTAAATAATCTTGTCCACGTCTACAAAATGTTTTGCTGTTGAGCGTCCCTCCCTCGGGGCTGTGGGGGTCCCTTTTCTTTTCAGCCAGGGCTGGAACCCAAGATCAGCCCTCACTAAGGACCACTGTCGGGACTGTACAAGGTGGTAAGTCTTGTTTTCCTACCTCCGGCAGCTGTAGGAAGAGAAACAAGTTTTGCTGAGATATTGCTGGGACTGAATTAGGCCTGCATATCAATTTGGGGAAATTGACATCATTAGTATATTCAGTATTTCAGTCTATGAACACAGCGTATCTTTCTACTTATTAGACCTTTTATAATTTCTTTCATCAACATTTTGTAGTTGTCAGCATATAAGTCCTAAACATAGTTTATTAGATTTGTAACTTACATTTTTTTGTGTTTGGAAGAATGATTAAAAATCGTATTTTAATTTTCAATGTCCACAGATACATTGGTAGTATGTAGAAATACAATTAATTTACCAGTTTGAGTAAAGCATAGAAATATTACCTCCCTCATTGTCCTTTGAGTATTTACTTGTTCCCTTTCTGTTATTGATACTGTTGTATTCCATTGTGGCTGAGGAATATATTTTCTATGCTCTCCATTAAAATTCTTTTAATTTAATTTGCTGTGTGTGTGTGTGTGTGTGTGTGTTTTAACAGAGAGCCAGGAAGTGATCTATTTTGGTATATTTTCTGTGGGGAATGAGAAATAATTGCATTCTCCTGTTGGGTGTAGTATTCTTTAAACATCTGTTAGATTCTGTTATTTGATAGCATTTTTGAATTCTTATATAGTCTTGCTAATTTTCTGTCTAGCTCTGTCAGTTATTGAGGGAAGGGTGTTAAAATCTCAACCGTATTTTTATATTTGTTTATTTCTCCTTTACAAGCTTTAACTTCATATACTTTACAGTTCTATTATGTGTAAACTTTAGGATTTTGACAATTTTCTTTGCTTTTAAATCTAATTTATCTGGTACTGATTTGTTTTCTTTTGATTAGTGTTTGTATTATATGAAGTTTTCTATCCTTTCACTATTTGTATTTGAAGTAAGTTTCTTCTAGACAGTACATGTTTATGTTTTTCATATTTTAAACTCACTATGCCAATCTGTCTTTCAATTGTGGAATTTATATGAACAGCATTTATTCTAATGATTTATATGTGAGGACTGAAGTGTAGCTGTTTTTATGTTTACAGTTTTTTTACTTCTGTTTTCTTTTTGCTGTTTTCCTATGGATTACTCAAGTATTTTTTAGAACTCCATTTTACTTTATAGTATTTTTGAGTATACATCTTGTAGAGCTTTTTAGGTAGTTGTTCTAGGTGCTTTATAACTGTATCTGACTTGTCATCTTACCAGTTTGAAGTATATAACCATTTAACTCCTTTTGTACCTTTTTTAGAATACACATGTCTCTCTTCTTTTAAAAAAATGATTTATTTATTTATTTAGGAGGTAACGTTATAGACAGAGAGGGAGAAACAGATCTTCCATTTGCTGCTTCACTCCCCAAATAGTGTTAATGGCTGGATCTGAAGCCAGGAGTCAGGAGTTTCTATTGGGTCTCCCATGTAGGTTCAGGGACCCAAGCACTTGGACCATCTTCTGCTGCTTTCCCAGGCCACTGGCAAAGACATGGATCAGAAGTGGAGCAGCTAGGACTTGAATTGGTGCCCACATGGTTGCTGGCACTGCAGGTGGAAGCTTAACCTCCTACACCACAGTGACAGTCCCAAATGCACTTGTCTTAAATATTTCTACTACAAACATTGAGATTCACATCAGACAGTTATATAATTTTTGTTTTCACCATTCAACTTAGAGGATTCTAGAGTGGAGTGGTAGTTTATTGATTTTGCCTGTATTTTTACTTACTGTGTTCTTTTTTCTTCTTGATGTTCCAAGATTCATCTTTTTTTATCATTTCCTTTCTGTTTGTCTTTTACTGTAGGGTATGCATGTTCATGATAAATTCTCGTAGTTTTTCTACATCTGAGAATGTCTTTAGTTTTCCTTCATTGTTGAAACATTGTCAGTAGATATGTGATCTGGTTTGACAACTATTTTCTTTCACTAGACAAATGTTGCTACATTTCCTCTGATCTCTATAGTGCCGATATGAAATCTTCTGTCATTCAGGTTGTATCTTTACTATAGTTTTGGTGTCATTGCTCTCACCTTGATTTCAGTATTTCCTCTGTTTTTCTTTATAGAAACATGACTGTGATGGTAACTGTTGTGTACTTTTATGTGTTTATTTTGTTTGTGATTCACTTAGCTTCTTGAATCCATAAATTTATACATTTCAGCAAATTTAGGATGTGTACAGCCTTTATTTTAAATTATTTTCAGATATACCCTCTTTTTCTACTTTTTTTTCCATGCTCCAATGACAAAATATTAAATCTTTTGTTATTCAGGTTTTCCTTGTGTTATGATGACATTATATTCTTTTAAACCCATTGTAAGTTGAAAATATTTTTTTATTTTTTAATATTCATTTATTTATTTGAAAGGCAGGATTACAGAGAGGCAGAGTCAGAGAGAGAGAGGTCTTCCATCAGCTGGTTCATTCTTCAGATGGCCACAACTGTACTGATCTGAAGCCAGGAGCCAAGAGCTTCTTCCAGGTCTCCCATGCAGATGCAGGAGCCCAATGACTTGAGCCATCTTCTACTGCTTTCCCAGGCCATAGCAGAGAGCTGTATAGGAAGTGGAGTAGCCAGGACTCGAACCAGTGCCATATGGGATGCTGGCACTGCAGGCGGCGGCTTTATCTGCTATGCCACAGTGCAGCCCCGAAAATACATTTAATGTACCTAGTGTATCAGACATCAAAGCTTAGCCTACCCTCCCTAAAACATGCTCAGAACACTTCCTTTAGCTTACAGTTGGGCAAAATTATTTAATATAATGTCTATTTTATTACAAAATCTATTTTAGCGCAAAATGTTGAATACCCCATATAATTTATTAAATACTGCTAAAGGGAAAGAATGGATATATGGATTTGCTTTCACACCACCAAAAAGTTGAAAAGTCCCAAGCTGAATCTTCTTAAGCCGGGGATCATCTGGAGTCCTATAGATCCTTCAGGTTCTGAAATTTTTAAAGTACATTCAGGGGCCGGCACTGTGGCATGGCAGGTGAAGCCACTGCCTGCAGTGTCGGCATCCCATTTTGGTGCTGGTTCAAGTCCTGGTTGCTCCACTTCCAATCCAGCTCTTTGCTATGGCCTGAGAAAGCAGTAGAAGATGGCTCAAGTCCTTGGGCCCCTGCACCCGCCTGGGAGACCCGTAGGAAGCTCCTGGCTCCTGGCTTCGGATTGGTGCAGCTCTGGCCATTGCGGCTGCTTGGGGAGTGAACCAGCGAATGGAAGACTTCTCCCTCTGCCTCTCCTCTCTCTGTGTAACTCTGACTTTCAAACACATAAATAAATCTTTAAAAAAGTATATTTATATATCACATTTTTCTTTCTGGTGTTTAGATTGAATAATAGCTGTCATTTTATCTTAAAGTTTTATTGGTTATTTCTTCTGCTCCCTCCTCTCCACCCTGGGCCATTTTTTTTGCTGAGTCCATTCATTGTGTGTTTTATTTTGATTATTGTCTTTTTCAGTTTTGAAATTTATACTTTTTTCTTTATATCTTTTATTGTTATCTTAGCGTTTCTATTTCTTACTGCTTAATGATGCTTATAATTTCTATTTGAACTATTTTCAGGAAGATTTGTTTTAAAATTTCTGCCAGATAATTGTGCCTCTGTGTGACCCCATTGTTTCCCTTTATATTGCTTCTTTTAAAATTCAGCTTGAGAAGATCCTGATTCTTAGTGAGGTGAGTGATTTGTGATTGAAACCTGGACATTTTGGGGAGTTGAATTATCTGACTCTGGGTATTATTTACACTTTCTGTTTTAGTTTATGTCTCATTCAACTTGGACTATCAAAACAAAACTACCATATAAATTTATTTTTCTTAGTTCTGAGGACTGGGAAGTCCTGGATCAAAGTTCCTGTCAGATGTCTTGTTTAGCGAGGGCCTGCTTTCTGGTTCATAGGTGGTCATCTTTTTGCTGTGTGCTCACACAGCAAAAAAAGAGGAAACTCTTTTAAGACTCATATAAGGACATTTATTCCATTCATGAGGGCTCTTCCTCACAATTTCTTCCTATCCTAATTACCTCTCAAAGTTCCCACTTCATAATATGAACACATTAAGGATCAGGTTTTAACATGAATTTTTGGGAGACACAGTTTCAATCTGCTGTTACAGATACTTCATCTTACGATACTCCATCCACCTCATTGTTTATGGGTATGGATAGAACGCCAGGCTCCCAACCTCCCCAGTACCTCCTAGAATATTTTTATCATTTAAGAATGATGATAAAATGTTGAGGACATTCCCTAAAGTTCATCCTAAGTGTAGGGCTAGAGAAGATTTGAAGAGGTAGGATAAAGCAGATGCCAGGCATTCTGTTTCTTCAATGTTTTGGTTAAAGTACTTTTACCTTAATTATGGTTGACTAGATGGGCTGAGATGAGAGATTAGTAGTAGAGAGGGAGAAGTTGACAAGATGGGAGAGAGACATGATGACTAAGTTCTGACAATATATGTCTTTAGGGCAGAGCCATGGTTTGTGTATTATATGGCCTATATGAAGGCAAGGGATGGGAATCAATAGATAATTTGGATATCTAGACTTAGCAATTTAGAAAGGGAATTTTGCAAGAGAAGTAGCATTTTGAGTTTTCTTCTGTTTCACTTTCTGCACTATCAGTAAGTTGGGTTTCATATCCTCATCTGACCAATAAGGATACCTGGGTTCACTGAGTTTCAATGACTTTTCTAAGACCTTTCAATTTGTTAATAGCATTAAGAAAGCAAGGCATTGATAAAAGTTTGGAGTGGATAAGTGGTTCATCCCTGAATTTCTGGTTTCTTATAGTTATCTGACAGATATCATAGTTCCTGTCAGAGAAATTGGAGGAATTTCTTTCCTACCGAAGTTGCAGGAGAACTCCCACATTTCATAAACAACCCTCAAGACAATTTGACAAACAGGGTGGTCTAGTGGAAAATTGTTTACCGATGCTCTGTCCTGCTCTGTATATGCTTACATTTATTTTATAAGGCCTTTGGCATTTAGAAACATGGAA